AGTGGATAAATTATTAACATAACTACAGTTTCTGAGTAACAATATCCTTACCTTAATCTCACTTAATGAATTTATTCTTAATGCTTCTGGGTTTTGTTTCATTGCTTGTCTGAATCCAATACTCTACTTTATAAACAGCTTCTGAATTCAGGTATTACATCTCTCATTAAAGCCACTTCTCCCAACAAAATGCTTAAAGGTTTGGTTTTTTTTTTAAATATTAACTTCCTTCTATCCAAGTTACTCAAAAATGAAGGTTGCACAAGAATCTTGTTAAGATAGAAAATGTCTTCCCTATTCCTGTAGCACATCATTTCCCCAGATATGTTGTACTGCAAGTGCCATCACCCCATCTACGTAGTAACTATCAAATACATTTTCTGCGCACTGCACCAAATAATCCTCTGTTGAACGAGTTAGCTTTTTCTGGCACAGTTTGACACTTGTTTTTGACAGTGAACAACACAGTGTTTTACTGAATTGAAAAACAGTTATGTTGGATTAATTTCTGCTTTGAGAATAAATATTTCTAGTATGGTTTTTAGAGGCATGGGCAGATAAGAAATGGTCCCCCAAAATGTAATTTCAGAACGCTCTACGATACTTGTCTTCAGAAGTTCTGAGATGTCTTATGTAGTCAGTGAAAACAGCAGGTGAACCACAGGATGTAGATTTTGAAATAATATTTGTTTTAGATGTGTAGCCAAGGTCTATCACTGGGAATTATTGCTTACCAAGATCTTCCAATTATATGCTTGCTTTCAGACCATTGAGAAGTAGGACTTTGGAATGTTAGGATGTGCAGAAAACAAAGGCAACAGACCATGACAGCTGTAATTCCTCATAGTTTTTCTACCATTTGTTGCCTCTGTTTTGACATTACATACATCAGTAAAACTATATATAGCTAAAGAGAAAAGACTGTGACTTGTATGGTGGTTGTGTCTATGAATGACACATTAGAGACCCTTTACTACCATTGCTCCCCACTTTCCTATGTCTGAAAAATGTACTGTATTGCTTAATAATCAAGCATTTGTGTTTTGGGGCATAGTGATCCAGAAAATTCATTTATCTCTAAAGGCTGTAAGCTTCGGGAAATAGTAGTCCAATCGTAGGAGGAAAATTATTACTATAAGAAGCAGCAGTATTCTCCAGAGCTCTGATGAAATGAGCTGTATTTAGCCTTTTACTTGAGGGGAAGTTTCCTACAGTTTGACTGGAAAGATGAGACTTCTTTGTACTTACTTCTATGTCTTATGATAAATGTGCTTGAACTCTAACTACCACTGTTAGTTGGCCAGAAAACTGTTTCGGGCCAACTGGTTATAGAGAATGTAAGCATACCTGCCACAATATTTTATGATCCCAATTACACAATATCATATTAGACACAAGTTAATTTCTGCTGTACTTAGTTTGACAGGACCTTTTAAATTAAGATATTGGCACATTAGTTTGCCAAATTGGTACTTCCATGGTGGACTTAGTTTTACATCCCCACTAGATAATCAGCTGTTCATCTTTTTTTTCTATTCTGTTTCTGGCCTTTATTCCAGGCCTGAGGGAGTAAAGCTCTATGAACCAACTGGATTAACAAATTAAAGCTGCTTGTCACATGGTCAGGTAAGCCCTAGAGCCCTTCCTTGTGCTTCAGAATACTGTAGAGTGAAGAGCAGGACTATCCCTTTTGCTAAACCCAAGATATTTAATCAGCTTAGCTGTATATAATCCAGCCACATCTTTGGTGACCTACAGACCAGTCTTACTAATTACACATGAATCATCTTTGTGCCAAAATAGTCTGATTTCGGATGTATCTTACTACATTAGAGTGACAAAATATTTTAGGAATCACAGTATTAACACTTCAGCATATCACACAGCAGATGTATTAAAGTACAGTGATAGCATGCTGTTTTGGAGAGAGAGGTATCTTGCATACACAAGAAAAGCCATTGCCAATAAGTAACACCAGATGCATTTCTTCTGGGCTAGGAAAACAGAGGAAAGAATTTAATAGCAAAAAGTAAAGTGGAGACTCTGATAGTACTACCTACAGTAGGAGTTACATCCTCCTTCAGCCAATACCTTTTGAAGCTACCTTGTAAGTATCCGTGTGCATTTTTGTTTGAGGTCTGTTTTCAAAAAACCACTAAAGGACATGTATTGACTTCTGGAGTGCTAAGCATTGTTTTTTGCTCTTTGGTCAGTGGTATAGAATGTTGTGTGTATATGGGAGAAGTCATGGACACCTCTCAGTAGAATCCCTCTTCCATTTTAAAAAAAATTTGGAAGAAGACCTGAAGTGGCACCTAAAGGTGTTCTGTTTAACAAAACCTACTGCTAGCAAGCATTTCAAGGTTTCTTTCTTTGTGGTAACAACACTGAACTTTTAGGAGTTTATCAGTTATCATTGTTCAAGCTTTATATTATCTGTGTGGCCTACTTGGGATTTCTACATGCTGTGTAACAACAGTATTTTGCTATCTCCCAGCAAAAATACTCACCATTGTCAATCTGAACTTTCTCTTTGTTGTGAAGCTGTGAAATACCAAAATGCTATAAACCCACCTATTTAACAAAACTACTTTGTTTAAGGAAGCTAGTGTTCAAAATAGACCTACACAATTTAGTCAAAATAAAAAAAACACAAACTAGTGTCATTACTGTACATTAAAAAAAATGAGGCAAGAAAACTGTAATAAAAGCAGCTGAAACACACACAGGCAGTCCTTCCCCACACCCCTAGTACAACTGGGGAAAACAAAAGTGTGAAACTGATTAAGGAACAAGTTCATTTATCTGTTAGAGTGCACACGTGATTTCTCTAGACTACTAAAATAATGTTAGAAGCATTCAGCAGCTGGATATAGTTTGAGAGTTTTGGAATTTGAGCTGTGGATTTCATAAGGAATTCTACTACAGTAAAGACTGTACCTATCCTGCAGGTGTATAGTGTTGGAATCAGTTGAAGAAAATAATTAAAGAATTAGTCAGCTGTTTCCTTTCTAAAATAATAAGGGGTCTTAGAACAAGTCATAGATATGAAAATATTCAATTTCAGTAAAATTAGAGAGCATTTAATTGAAGTCAGTGGAATTATACTGACAAAAGATTAAAGCATTGGAGCCAGCTTGTCTGTTCTGAAATTCACTTATCGTACCTGTGGATACCACAAAGGTACTTTCACAAATATCTGACACCTTCTGATCACATGCGATTGTCCTCGCCATGACTGAAAAGATTAAACAGCATCATAAAAGCAAAAACTCAAATCACTCTATGCATAAGCTACCACATGGTGCTTCATCAGAAATAGGAATGATATTCTAGTGGTAGGAAGCAAGTCAGAATGAGTTTTATGACCTCAGCACTGGCACTGACTTCCTGGTGAAATTTTTGGCATCACCCACAGTCTGTATCCATATCACACCTAAATCAGAATTTGTCAATTCCTGTTTATCCATTAATCTTGGAATAGGGAGAAAAGCTTCCAGCTGTGCACCTGGCCTATAGAAGCAAGTGCAGACGCCACCATAAGCAGTTCCATATGCTAGAGACCGACAGACAGATTGCTTTGTAGACTATTCCACTGAAAACAATTTGTGTATTCCCACATGGTGCATTTTGTGGCAAAATAAGTCTCATATATAGTCATGTGATATGAAATTACAATTCCTTATACAATATTTGTCTTTTTCTGTAGTCAAAAAGGCAATTAATTATGTTGAGCAGAAATTTAACTATAAATAAGCCTGTAATTCTATCTGTGGCACTGATACTGGATCGAGGCACTTATAGCAACTTTCTAGATATTACTGTTTAACTTTGTGTTTAAAATAAATTCTATTAGATTAAAAAGTCAAGATACAAGTAAGATGTGTAAATTATTTTCATTATGGCAGTCTGTTATTGAAGCCTTTTTTTTTCCTGGGAGAAGACCAAATGTATTTTCAGAAATGATACACTCACTGCACATACACTGACAAATCTAAGCATGCTCAGTGTGCCCCATCACCTGGCTGGGAAGGAGGTGTACATTCTACCACGAGAATTGAAACCTATGGCACACCTATTTTTCCATGCTGGGTACTCCAGTTTTAGTACAGTAACAGTTCTGTATTATGGAAAAATAAGGGATAAAATGCAGATAATGTTTGGAATCAAAATTGGAAAATATTCATATAAGTCTTCTTTCACAATTAGATTGTAAACTGATTAAATTTCACATATAACTGTGGTTATAAGCAAAAAAACATTGAAAACCCCCAAAATGAACCAAGCAAAAAAGCTGACCGAAATGTCATAGACTAGATAAATGAGGATAATATGGAATTGAGGAGCAATATCCCAGTCACTGAATCTCTAGATTTTTGTCTTTCCATTACAACTGAAGGCCTTAGATGTATTTTGTAGAGCACAGTTGTGAAGTAATTGTTGAACTTGTCCTTTAACAGTATCTCATCTAAAATCAGAAAATCATTCATTTACAAAAAGTTACTATTTAATCATCTATGTGTTCTAAATATTATTGTCCATCCAGGTGTTCTCGTTTCAGCTGGGATAGAGCTAATTGGTTTTCTTTTCCTTCCTTCTTAGTAGCTAGAATAGTGATGTGGTTTGGATTCAGTGTGGGATTTGATATGAGAAGAATGTTGATAACGTACTGATGTTTTTAGTTGTTGCTAAGAAATCAAGGATTTGACAACTTCTCCTGTCCTGCTAGTGCACAGGTACACCAGAAGCTTTGAGGGAGAACAGCCAAAGCAACAGACCCACACTGGCCAATGGACTAATCCATATCATCTAACGTCATGCTCAGTATATAGCTAAGGGCTGACTGGGAAGCTCCACGCAGGTTTTCAGGATGGTGGTTTCAGGATCTCTCTTCCCTGGGATCATTGGCCTGGAACAGGCTGGGCATTGGTCAGTGGGTAGTGAGCAATCACGCTGTGCATTACCCATTTGTATTTTCTATTATTATTATTTCATTTTGTTTCAACTATTATATATTTATCACAACCTATGAGTGTCCTTACCCTTACCCCTTCAACTTTCATCCCCATTCCCTGGGGGTGGGGGAGGGTGAGCAAGCATCTGTGTGGTGCTTGGCTGCCAGCCGGGTTTAAACCACGACACCAGGGGAACGGGCTCGAAGGAAGTGTCTGAAGTTGGAGAATGAGTCAGGGGCAAACCTAGAAACTGGATTGGTTGTATCTTGTTACTGCTGTGCCTCCTGCCTCTATTTTTTTTCATCGTATACTCCTTCGACTGGACAAAAAGAACAAAAATTAGGCATTGCATAGCCTGCATATTACAGGAAAACATAATTACTGTGGCCCATCACCATGAAAAACCCCACAAAATTCTAAACCCAAGAACAATTATTATGAACTCCTGTTTGGAGATCTTGCTTTTCTACAGTTTATAATGTTTAGCACCTGTTCAAGAAATGGCTTCCATAAATAACCATTTTCTGTTTCAGACAAAATTTACATTGAAAATTATCTTGGTGCAGCTGTTCGGTTTTTCTACAATTGTGACTTGCCGAAAAAGGAACAGTAATTCCTTGGGGGCCTCAGAGTTAAATCCTTTTTATTTAACATGATACTACATAGTGGTACTGTGATCGAAGTCTAACTATTATTGCTAGCTGTTCTTAATTTACTGAAACTGAGAACTGAAAAGCCCTTTGTAGATGATCCTCACTCTTTCACAATTTCTTGGGCTTTTCAGTTCCGTAATTACCGACCCTGATGGCACACTGCCCACAAAATGAATACTTTGATAATTTGCTGCTCTCTTGTAAGCCTTGTCATCTTCGATGTCCTAGTACTCCGCCACCTTCATGTGAAAACTACTGTGATAAGAGTAAGTAATGCTTCTGCAATACTTTGTGACTATGCTGGGCATTTTCATGTTGTATTTTAAATGGAATCGTAAACATAAAAACTTAAAGTCTAAAACCTGGAAAATGGTTCTCAGAATAATATATAGGCTCAAAAATATTAGACACATCCAGTGTGTCCTATATGAGTATTTGTGTTAAGAAGAGTAAATTTCCAAAGCTCTCAAGCTTTACTTGAGCTGTCACTGAATAGAAATATAAGTTGTTCTTTTGATATAGAAGTTTTATGTGTTTACTGGTCATTGGTTACTGTTTACAATTAATTTAATGCATCTCTTGTATTTCATAAGGTACTGATTCAAGTGGAGTTCTTTGGATTTGTTTGGGCTTAGGAGTAATTTTAATGCTCACTCTGTTCACCTTAATGGTCTTTAAATGGAAGCATCTAAAGCAACTAAAAGAAAAACTGAAAAACACAGGTGAATAAATAAGATTATCAAATAAGTTTAATTGTTGTACATTTTAGCTACTTACCATGTGTAAATTTTGCATGTAATTTATACCAGATTCTGATAACTGTCTTTGGATTGTTTTATATTCCTCAAATAGTCTGAATGAAGTTATTAAAGTTATCAGGGAATAAAATATCTAAATGATAACTTGTAAAAGCAGCAATCTCTCTTTGTTGGTTCTGAATCATGTTAGGATTGTTTTGTTGCATATTCATACCTGGCTTGTTGGTGTTTGAGAAATCATTTATGACCCTCAATAGCAAAAGATCTTTATAAGGGTTTCATCCTCTTCTCATTGAATGCAAAAGGAATTCTACCCAGGTACATGATACACATCCAATACTAGCTTTCCATCTTAAAAATCATCAAATAATTTTACTTAATATTGTGATCTGTGAGAAGCATATGTGATATATTTTGGTTAGGTGAAAAAATTGTTATTTTTACATTTTACAAATACCAATATTTGTGGACTGTTCAGCCAGTAAATAATAGCAGATTAGAAAATAATAATCTAATAACAGATTATTCAATGTTTATCCTGCAGTATAAGGGGTATATTATCATAGAACAAAAGATTGTCACATATAACTACATCTTAAAACTTTCACTAAGGCTAGGGACATAGTTGGAACATAATGAAATTTGGATCTCTAATAACTCTATGTCTGGTATAGCATGACGTCTTTACTAAATTAACTTTGTGTATTTACAGACTCTTCTGTGGAGCTGAATAATATTCTCAAGGCTAATACTGAAAGCAGTGTGAATACAGAAGGAATTAGATACTCACTTCAAAGTGAAACATTAATGTATTCAGTGGAAGAATGCACTTGCAGTGACTGTGGCTTGGTAAAACCTCAGACTGGCTGTGAAACTTCATTTCCATTACCAGCTACAGAAGAAGGAGCTACTGTTCTAGTTACCACAAAATCTTTTGATTATTGCAACTATATCCTGGGTGCAGGGTGACTATTTCCTGCATAATAATAGAGTTATTCCAGTATAGCTATTAATCTTAATACTTGCAGTCAGTGGAGAAGGCTAGTACATCATCCTTATAGATCTGCCATTGAGCTTTTGTTAATACCGGCATATTATTTCTGATTCTAGTATCTCTTTGGTCAAGTATTTCTACATTATTCTCAGGTACCAGATTAGTTATTGGAATTTTTAATTTCTGAAAGTCCCTACATAGGATGGCTTTTTCCACCTTTAGAGATTGTATCTACTTCTGCTGGATATATACAAATCCATCAATAAACAAGTTTGCAAATACATATTGTATGTTAAATTCAGATCTTGTGCCAAAAATTGCTTGATGGTACATAATGAATGCTCCAAGAGGCAGAAATGAAGACCCACAATGCATTCCCAGTATTGTAAAGAATAATTTCAAATAGCTCCTATGATGCTTGATATAGGAATGTTCTCATAATAGAATCACAGACTGGTTTGGGTTGGAAGGGACCTTAAAGATCATCCAGTTCCAACCCCCCTTGCCATGGGCAGGGACACCTTCCACTAGCCCAGGCTGCTCAAAGCCCCGTCCAACCTGGCCTTGAACACTGCCAGGGAGGGGGCAGCCACAGCTTCTCTGGGCAACTTGTGCCAGTGTCTCACCACCCTCACAGGGAAGAATTTCTTCCTTATGTCTACTTGCAGTTTACCCTCTTTCAGTTTAAAACTGTTACCCCTGGTCCTATCCCTACACCCCCTGATCAAGAGTCCTTCCCCACCTTTCCTGTAGCCCCTTTAAGTACTGGGAGGCTGCTCTAAGGTCTCCCTGGAGCCTTCTCTTCTCCAGCTGAACCCCCCAACTCTCTCAGCCTGTCCTCACAGGGGGGTGCTCCAGCCCCTGATCATCTTCATGGCCTCCTCTGGACTGGCTTGAGCAGGTCCATATCCTTATGTTGGTGCCCCCAGAGCTGGACCCAGCACTGCAGGGGGGTCTCACAAGAGCGGAGCACAGTGGGAGAATCCCCCCCCTCACCCTGCTGCCCACCCTGCTCTGGGTGCAGCCCAGGACAGGGTTGGCTTTCTGGGCTGTGAGCACACATTGCTGGCTCACAGTCAGTTTTCCATCCACTGACACCCCAAGTCCTTCTCCTTGGGGCTGCTCTCAATCCACTCCTCGCCCAGCCCGTGTCTGTGCTTGGGATTGCCCCGACCCATGGGCAGGACCTTGCCCTTGGCCTTGTTGAACTCCCTGAGGTTTGCACAGGCCACCTCTGCAGCCTGTCCAGTCCCTCTGGATGGCACATCCCTTCCCTCCAGCGTGTCCCCGCACCACACAGCTCGGTGTCGTTGGTGAACTTGCTGAGGGTGCCTCGATTCCACTGTCCACGGCACCGACCAAGATGTTAAACAGCGCCGGTGCCAACCCCGCCCCTGGGGAACGGCACTCGTCACTGCTCTGCACTTGGACATGGAGCCACTGACCGCAACTCTCTTGAGTGCGACCACCCAGCCCATTCCTTACCCATGAGTGGTCCATCCATCACATACATGTCTCTGCAATTAAGAGACAAGGATGTTGTGCAGGACAGTGTCACATGCTTTGCACAAGTCCAGGTAGATGATGGTAGTTACTCTTATGCATGAATTTTTGTAGAGTACAGAGCTCTGATAGTATCTCCAGGTCACAATGAGGGAGGTTCTGGTGCTGTAAAGCACCATACCTGCAATCCCAATGTATTTCCTGATGGTGCAGACTTTCCTTTAAGTGCAAAGAATTTTTCAAACTGTATTCTATGAAGATTTCTTTCTATTTTACTAATTTTTATACTTGCCCTTGTTATATGTACAAGGACTGCTGATTAAATATAGTCATGCTATGCTACTGTATGGCCTAAAATTAGGGATGTACTTGTGCCACCTTACCTCCCAAGCATTAATATTATGTTCCCAGTATTAGGCCAGTTTAACTCCTGGAAAACTGCGAAAACAACAGCAATCTTTTTACTTGTAGATAATTTTCTATTTCAGATTCTCGAATGAATGATGAATTCAAGTCTTAAGACTAGCAAATTATTGCACAAAATTTACAAACAATCACCATTACAGCATCTTTAGGAGGCTGACCACAACGTTTGGGCCAGTTATGAGTTAGCTGTGTAGGTCTAGTCACACACAGCCAGCAACTCTGAAATAGGCCCACAGAGGTACGAAATTTACTATTATTATCTAGGAAATCTTAAAAAAAAAAAAAAAAAAAAGCTATGCTCTGTTGCCTGACACAGTGTGGAGGATGTGGCAAACACACAGCACTATACTGAGTGTGTGCAACAAACCAGCCAGATGATGCCTTAAAACGAGTCTACAACATTTAAGCAAATTACTTGCCTTTTTTTTTTTTTTATCGAAGGTTTCACAATTTCTGTACCGGGTTTTTTTTGAAACGTGAACCTTGTAGGACTTTTAGCTTACACGGCACATGTGACAGGATTTTATTTCCGTTTTTCTCAACTTTCATCTGCCCGGTATTTCTTCCCCTTCCCACAGAATTACGGCACGGGCGGGCCGTCAGGCTTTTCCGAGAGGTGGAGGAGCTGCCCGGGGGTTCCCTCGGGGCCGAGCACCCCGCGTTGCCGCCGCCAGAGGCCGGGCCTGGCAGCTCCGCGCCTTTTTCCCAGGAACCCCCGAAGGC